TTAGGGCTGCACGATTAATCGCATGCGATATTTAACGCGCATCTTATCAGTAAAGCCGGTCTGTAATCAGCGGTAAATCTCCATCACCTGCGTGCTTTCACATTGAGCAGCATTAACTACACAGAGCCGTTGTTCACTGATGAGCAGCGCAAAAAATCGCGCGAATATGAACGTGGTTTAGCGCAGCTCGTCAGTGAACAACGGCTCTGTGTAGTTAATGCTGCTCAATGTGAAAGCACGCAGGTGATGGAGATTTACCGCTTGATTACAGACCGGCTTTACTGATAAGATGCGCGTTAAATATCGCATGCGATTAATCGTGCAGCCCTAGTTAAAATGCAAAGGTTTGACCTGGAACTGAAAGTTACTGGTTTTGGGAAGAGAATCAAGTACATAGTGTGTGTATTCCCTATGAACAACCTCAGTTATGACACTCCATTGTTGAATTGAACAGTGTCTCAAAGAGGACTCGCTGCAGTGAAACTGTCAAAACGTGCAAAATATTCTGCAGAGCTGATGCGGAGGGGACAGAATGGTGTTGCTAATGCCATGTTCCTGTGTTTAATGTCATCTGTTTATTAAGAAATATGTAAAGAAACCTTTGCAGGTGTTTCTATGGCAAGTGTTAATGTCTTTGGTTGTGAGATTGGCTAGCGGGAGCGAGGAATAGCCAGTCTGTACTGTACAATGCGTATTATATTTTATTATGTAACAGTTGTGTTCTTTCTTTTTTTATTATTCAAAGTATACGTTTTTTTTAATTTTTTTTTTTTTACTATTTTAGGGGTGGGTGGGTTATTGTGGCAGGGTCTGTCATTGTAAGATGTGGGAAATATATGTATCGGTGTGATTTTTGTTCGCTGCCCCTTTGATCTGTTTAACCCAAACCACAGTTTAGCCCAGCTTTCCCAACACTATTGTATTCATTCTCAATAATTTACTTAGCTCTACTGTCCCAATGTTTTCTTCTCAGTAAACTAAAATACAAAATATAAATACTAAACAACTGCTTTCTTTTTCTGAGTCAACAGAAATGTTGAGTTTCTCAGAAAGCAAATAAAAAGATAGAAAATGTACAGTCTTTGTTCTGAGTGTTTCTTCTGAATGTTTATGAGAAGCAGAGCTTTGTCTCTTCGTGACGGTAAGCAGATTGGGTTAATTGGTTATTTATGGCATGAAAGTTAAATGATTTATAAACATCAAATGAGAGGATACGACCAGGTGTTACGCACCTGGTGCCATGGTGCCTAGTTCTGCTGGATGGGGCTGTTTACAGCTCACATGTGTTGGCACATGCCCTATGCAGTGCCATACACTATTAGTGGTGGAGGGAAGAATGCCCTTAAGGGTACTTTAGTTTGGTGTGTCAGAGGAACACAACCGTCTGTTCACTTAGTTTCTCTCTCGAGTGTCTCCAAGCAAAAGTTTAATGAGTTCAATACAGGACATCATCTCACATGACCTTAATTGAAATTAACATGAAACTGCAAGTTGCAAACAATGTCCACTAGGTGGCAGTAATGTTCTCTGTGTGGCCTAAGAGGCCTCGGAAATCAAATCAACTCGATTTGCTTTGCAAGGCTTGTGCAGTGCAGGATGCTGAACAGAATCATACCAACAATTCTGTTTTTTCCCCTCCAGGGTCACATATATTAAGTTAATTTGTTTCCAAATCTGTTACGTTGTACTAATATTTTCTGAACACAAGTATAAGGAATTTTCAGATTTAAAGTTACTGTAACAGTCTATGTATTCTCATGTTTTGTTTTAGAACTGTTCTCCTTTACATAATACATAAACAGTTTTCCTAGTAAAATAAAACCTGGATTTATCTGAAATTTCAGGTGAAGTTTTGATATATTTGCCTGAAAAGGTTATAGGCTAGAAATTTACATAGCGAGTGTACATTTTTCTAGTTTTGCTGTTCATTATTTCACCATCTGTGTATTGGTTGTTCTGAGTGCTTTTACAACATGCTTGCTTGTAAGTCAGCATGAAACATAAGTCTATCTTTTGAGGTTCTTAACTGAGCACGTAGTAGGCTATATTTTAAATTAATACAAAAGACTGGTGCCTGCCTTATAAATAGAAATACACCCGTCTTTATAAATAAATTAGTGCTGTCAAACGATTAATCGCGATTAATCGCATCCAAAATAAATATTTTTGTTTACATAATATATGAGTGTGTACTGTGTTTATTTATTATGTATATATAAACACACACATTCAGTATATATATTTAAAATATTTACATGTATATACATTTATATATTTATATTATTATATTTTATATTATATATAAATATATTGAATATATAAACAACATATTTTTCTTAAATATATACATGCATGTGTTTGTATTTATATGTACATAATAAATATACACAGTACACACTCATATATCATGTTAACAAAAACTTGTATTTTGGATGCAATTAATCGTTTGACAGCACTAAAATAAAATTAATTTAATAAAAAAAATTTAATAATCCTTAACTGCATTTCACACATCTTTTTACCAATAATTTTCATAACATTTTCAGTTGTTTATTACTGGTTAAACGCCTTTCAAAACCCACTTATGAAGAACAATTTCTAGCCAATGAAATATTGAGATGAGCATAACTAGAAAAAGCTATAGAAATGTCCATGCCTTTGAAACCTTTAAAAAATGATTCTACGAGGCCTAAAAAAATCAGTTTCAAAATTCTCTTATCTAATATTTCTAGGTTCTCCGTGGCTCTGCAAACGCTGAATCATTAAGGAATGAAAGCCATGGAAATTCACTTGTCAAATGTTATGCGTGTATATAAGTTACTATCTTGTTTACTATGCAGTTGTAAATCAGATCCAGAAAAATTATTTACATCTTGCCCTTTCGTGCATACAACTTAATAAGGATCAGATGTTTTAATATTATTTCAAAGGGATATTATCATAATTTTACACACTTTAATTTGTGCATAGTTAACCTATCAGCTGTGTGGTCAAAAACGGCAGTCTGTGCAAAAGAATCCCTGTGGATGGAACATTCTTCGTATTTGTTTTCATTTTTAAACACGCAAAGGCTGATTCCATTTGATCTCTGCATCTGACAAGAGTTGCCGGCACTAATCCACAAAGATCTCACCAAGCCGCCTTTGCATGTTGTTTTACTCCCATCTCACGCGGCACTAGCATGGGGAGAACTCTGGGAGGAGCGACTGACCTAGTTTTGTCCAATCGGATCTGGCGAAGGGCAGATACTGACCTACTTTAGACCAATCGCGTGAAGGAGAGGCCGCCGGTAGGTAGCGATCGCGCGTGCCTGAGCCATGTGCTTGCTACGAGGTCTAGTGCTGGCCTTAAAGTACTGTGGAAATACGTTTGTGTCGGCCAAACCGACATGCTCACGTTTTTTGACTTATTCTAGCCAATGACAGCTAGCAACAAATTAGAGAATGAATGAATATGATGATGGTTAGAAAAAACAGTCGCAGTTTGAACGTGGACGGACCAGACGAATGTTATTGCAATTCCGATAACAGTCTTTTGCATCTATCGATTTTGGTCATATGTGTTTACACATATTCGCAGGCACGTTCTCATAGACAAAGTTGCCACTGTATACGCATCACTGCAGCCCTGCAGACCTTGCAAGGCAACTTCTTTAGCGTAGCCTATATAAAGATTAATGACATGACGCTGTGTCAAAGTTACAAATATGATTCTTACATACACATTTATTATGAATAGTGTCAATTCAAAGTACGAATTCAAAGTAATTTTGACATTTTAGTGGGTCTATAAAAACTCATTCGTATGATTAAGATTGTTCAAGGAAAAAGGAAGCGAAGTAATGAGTAAATAAAGCATTTCTAGTCACGAAACCAAGATTTTTTGTTGAGAATGCTGCAAACATTTTTCAAAAAAGCCAACATAAAAAACAAAGAATACATTTATAAGAACCAGGCACTTTTTAAAATTCCTTTTTGTCATTGACACGCACATGTATTATATCGAGCTCTGTCCTTTGTCCTGTTGTTTGGATGCATGCAGCCTCCCGTTCAAATTAGTTCGATCTATGAATATGTAACGGCACAGAAGAGGTTAGTGAAAAACAGGGGTGGTCTGACATTAACATGTAAACAGGGACACTTTCTATTGGCCAGAGCGGCTCGTTTATCATATTGTGGGCGTTGATCGAGGAGGTGTGTATAATGAATAATGAATAGCCCCGCCCTTCAGTGCCGTTCCCCCGTGAGAGGTGATGTCACGAGCGCTGCCCGTGTACGTTCCAGCTGACTCTTGCTACGATACCGGGCGCTCGCTTTACCGAGTGCCTGAAGAAAGAAAGAAAGAAAGAAAGAGGTTGCGGAGGTTAGCTACAAAAATAACGAGAGAGAGAGCAACAAAGAGGGCAGAGGAATAATAAAAGCCATCAGTCTTGACCGTCACCGCTCACGTTTAATTGTTTATTATATTCTGAAGAGGGGAACCATCTTTTTATTTGCACACGGAGTTTTTTCCAGCTCTCTCTTGATTCGATTCAGTCTGACATTATAGCTTACTCGCAGTTTCCTGCCGACTGTGTGGGACTCAATCGTATCTCTGCCTCCATGGACGCCCGTCTAATCCAACTCATTCGTTTTTTCGGGGAATATTTCTGTCCTGGCCGCGAGGAGCACCAGTTAAATGCGATGACACACGTCAAGAAATGAGCGGCGATCCCACGAAAGGTTTACTGAACGCCAAACAATCGGCAGAATATTCTTTAAAGGGAGCCAGTGCGTTTGAAGAGGATGAAGTACGACTCCGGCATCTTTCTCACTTGATCATCTTTCTCACTTTCTCACCATACAGAACGTCAGTTCACTTCAGATTCCTAATGGGAACGCATTAGGACTTTGAATTCGAATTTAAATGCTCATGAACTTCCATACACACACCCCGGTTCCAAGGTCCAACTGCCAAACTCTGTGTTTTTGTACATTTCTACTTTTGATTGGAACGCCGACTGTGTGGGACTCAATCGTATCTCTGCCTCCATGGACGCCCGTCTAATCCAACTCATTCGTTTTTTCGGGGAATATTTCTGTCCTGGCCGCGAGGAGCACCAGTTAAATGCGATGACACACGTCAAGAAATGAGCGGCGATCCCACGAAAGGTTTACTGAACGCCAAACAATCGGCAGAATATTCTTTAAAGGGAGCCAGTGCGTTTGAAGAGGATGAAGTACGACTCCGGCATCTTTCTCACTTGATCATCTTTCTCACTTTCTCACCATACAGAACGTCAGTTCACTTCAGATTCCTAATGGGAACGCATTAGGACTTTGAATTCGAATTTAAATGCTCATGAACTTCCATACACACACCCCGGTCCAAGGTTCGTTCAACTGCCAAACTCTGTGTTTTTGTACATTTCTACTTTTGATTGGAACTCTTGATTCAGTCAGCCAGCTCAACTGTCCAGTGATCTGAAAAGGTATTAACTGGTTAAACCTGGACTAGGTGTTAAACCGAGGAATGTCCAGGCCAATTTCTCAGCTATTGCCACCTGACCTTCCAGCAGGGACCAGTCCACAGCTCGGTCCTGCTAACCCTACAGGTACCACCACCAATGGCCACCTGAATAATTCCATGGCCAGTCTGAAATCCCTTCTTCAACTGCCTATTAAAGGGGACCAGAGAGGGAAAGACTGCTGTGCTGAGATGAAAGGTGACTCTCTCTCTCTATCCCATCCACTAATCCACTCTTACAGTCTCTTAAATAGTGTGTCTTTTAAGATAATCTGTTATCCACAATATAATTTTTGCTTATAGTGTAGTTAAATCATCAATAGAGAGCAGCAGTATAACTTTTGGTGCCTCGCAAGCTCTAGGCTGATCTACCTCAGTTCTGTGCAACCAGGAACCATCTTGTATTCTTCACTCAGTCAGGCTGTTTCCTCGACTCAATGGCTAAATCGTTTACAAATTATGTGAATTGACGGGTTCACTATAAATTAAAAGAAATGAAGGGCCTCTCCCCTCTCTTAAAGGGATTTCTGAAGCACCCATGGCTGCCATTAAAGGGATGCCATCCTAAAATGCATTGAGGTGTTGTCTTAATACGGATGTACACATTACTATTTGCTCAGTTGCGCACTCTTGTGGATAATACAGGTCACTTCAGGTTTAGAAAGGTTTAAAGTAATCAGGAAGAGGAGGATGAATACTGTGACAGCACTTTTAGTAAAAGCCCAGTGTTGTATTATCAAAATGTATTTCTTCATTCTTTAAATAAATTTGTTATTGGTAAATTTTCCAGTGTAATGACATCTTCGCTGCTGTGCTTTGTTGAAAACTCCCACTCTCCATCCATATCTTCTTTCTCTTTCCATTTGTTACCATTGTTTCCCTCTTCCAGTTTATTGGTTGCAACCTCTTGAACATTCCTCCACTTCCAATTTGTCAGGATACTGTTGTTGTAGAGTAAAACACAGCTTTTTCTCAGTTATCACTATGCAGCACATATTCCCCAGCTCCGTCTTCAAAAGCCCCTGTGCTGGAGATGACAGCTCAGCTCCCCGCTTCCCTCAGAAGCACTCATGCAGCACTCTCATTTGCCAGCCAGATCCAACCCCCCACATCTCTCATCTCTCCATCTGAGCGACGGGCAGAGAGAAAGAGACTTTCATCTTGGCTCATGGCATTCCAGCCGTGTACATGGCATTGTGCGTTTCTAAGCCCATTGCAGCTGTGATACTGCAGCAGTTCAAGGGTCATGTACTCGTGAAATTTGTTTATTCATTAAGCACACTGTACGCCTTAATGCATGGGCGCCATGTTTATTTGTGGAAATATGTTGAGATGCACCAATATTACAACTGTTTATTATTTTCATGTTATGGTTGAAAACCGATAAACGTCCAATTAAAATGATATACTGTTTTATCTACATAAATAAAAATAAAGCACTAAAAAGACAATTATTTTAAAAGTGAATTTCGCCACCTAAACATTATAATGTACAGTATGGATTTTAAAAGGATATTCATCTTGAGATTTGCTTAAGATTACATTTAACAGTATTATTAAATAATTGGTGTTTTAAAGATGGACTTTAAGTGAGTTTTAAATGATGGCGAAGATAATCTGAGCATGCAGAATTAAGTATTCCGTATTATCCAGCAGTGTTGTTGTTAACTAAAGCTAAAACTACTGATAATTGTTTGTGGTAATTAAAATAAATCTACATAAAAATGACTAAAATAAACTAAAACTCTAATAAAAAATAAAGTAAAACTATATATATATATTAAAAAGTAATAAATATTTGGATTAAAACATTGAAATAATATAAAAATAAAAGCTGATAAACAGTAAAATAGTAAAATGATTAATTACTATTAAAATAATGTGTAATTAATATTAAAATACTATGTAACTTTTTTTTTTGAGTTTACAAAATGTATACAAATACGTCATTAAGCAATCTTCCAAACCGTGTTTTTGTCTTATTCTTAATCACTACAGAATGCCTACATTTATATTCAGACTATTCTTCCGCAAGACACATGCAGTTTTGTTGATTAACCACTAGAGCTCCAAAAGTTGCATAGTGTACCTTTAAAAATCCTGAATCTTGCTGATAACCGTTATGGTACTGATATATCATGCACAGTGTTGGGGAGTAACTAGTTACATGTAACGGCGTTACGTAATTTAATTACAATAAATGTAACTGTAATCAGTTACAGTTACTTATGAAAATGTTAACGATTACAAAGGGGATTACATTTGAATATTTACACACATCCAAATACAGATTTAATTGATTTTTTCCCCAAATTACACTGACTACTCTGAGACATACGGCCCTATAATGTCCGCGATGCAGAAAACACAGACTGGTTCGTAGAATCCAGTCATAAAAACGGAAGTCCTATAGCCTAACGCGGACGGAATATGCCACATTTTGGATGAATAAATCAAAAGTAGGTCAGTACACTTGAATCAAAGCCGCGAAATGTTGTATATTTTGAATATTGAAGCCGCGAAAAGACAATAGATGAATCCTGCACGTTCTGCGTGTCTGTGGAAATCAGGCGCGAACTGTCCATC